TTGGGTGAAGATTGGGGAAGGGAATGAAGAGTGGCAGACCTATTTTGGGGATTTATTTGCCTTGAGGTTTACTGCTAATTATATTTGGTAAAGACTTTTAGTAAATAAAAATAATATTATCTTTAATACAGAGATTCAATACATTCAGAGTATAAAAATAATAATAGAAAACAATCTATTTGTAATGTTTATAATCTTAGAAATCTTTTAAAAGCTATGGTTCTTTAACCAAACAAACATATTTCCTTAAAAAACTTTTAGTTCCATTTTCCTTAACTTCTAGAAATCTAAATTTCTTATAAAAATATTTAAGTAAATGACTTAATCTTTCCTATTTTTATTTGTATTACTCTTTGCCTTGAAAAACCTTGAATGAAAGCTGCTTTCTATTCATGGTCGAGCAATTACCGACTGATTGAATTTAAATTCTTGAGCTCGTCCTGAGCGCGCTCCTTATCTCAAAGTCAGTCCTCTGACAGCCCGTAATCCCTCCTCCTCTCCCTTAACTTGGCTCCATCCTTGGGCAAGTCATAAATTATCCTTAGATCACGCGCCAACAAAAGTGTTTCCAGCACTCCACCTCGTTGGGCTATGTAGTTTTCTCCCATCATTTTCTTGTTTTTGTTGGTCCTTACGCAGTGACCTATACAATGCATTCCATCGGGGAACTAGTAGTAATAGTTCTTCTGCCTGAACCACTTTCTCTTTTTTTTTTATTTTTTTTTATTTTTTAACTAGCTTGAATTCCTGGCAGTCACATGCCAGCGGAGGCGCAACGCCAAGATGATGGAAACAGCTGACATTTCACTTTCTTGATGCGATTACGCAGCGAGGAATGGTTCGGCCTCCCACACTGGCTTTTTCCACTGCTTTTCCGGAGCGCCTCCAGTCCCGCCTTCCCCGTCTTTCTGTCCACACTGCAAATTGCTTACGGTCACGTAGCAGCGCTCTAGCCTCTCGCTCGCCCTCGCACAACCCCACACGGCGCGGGGTCGGGCTCCTTTTTGCTGCTGTTGCGCGACAAGAATTTTTTGCGCTTCAAGCGGCGGCCAAGAAACTTGCCACTGCAAAAAAAATAGTTAACACAGATAACAAAGTAAGGCAAAAAAATATGCAAAGTATAAAACTAAATATTAAAATGTATAAATAAAATATAGCAGAAGAGCTCTTTGCGAAAACTTTATTCGACTGTTAGGCAATCCGGCTCGAAAGACCAAGATGTGTAAAAATTAAACAGCAAAATGTTTAAGCTCGTTGAGTCTTAGTAAAAAACTGATTTTATTTTAATATATCTTCGTTTTATATAGGTGAAATGAAATTCTAATTCATTGTTTAAAATCTCCAAATCTATATAAATCCTTCTAGTTTATATTCTATGATTTTGAATATATTGGTTTCTTCTCTAATTATTATATACATATATACATTTTTTCAAAGATTTGTATAAATGGTTTATTTTTTGTATATTTAAATTTAATCTCTTGTTGGATTTCTCTTAGTGTTAAACCATGAAAATATGGAAGAGGAAGAGCGTTTGGAGTAAGAGAAAGTAAGGTTGGGGAATGGGTAACAAAAGGAAAATGGTGCCAAACTTAATGAAAATACCAACGCGTCGTCATTTTGGCCGCAGAGAGGCTGTAGTATCTTCTCCGGAAAACCATCCTACCCTCTTCCCTAAGCCCATCCATCTTGCATGCCATTTCCACAATATGTTATTTTTCATGCGTTTTAGGCGAAAGTGTTTCAGCCCACTGTGCGCGAGAAGCTGTCTTGTTGTTGTTTTTCTTTTCTTTTCTCTAGTGACACCCACCTCTTATTTATTGGCATTTTTTTGATTCCTTGCTCCAATTTGCTAGTACAGTAGTAATACAAAAACAGAGTAAAATTAACTAAAAAAGTTAAACAAAAAAATGTATATAAAATATGTACTATGTATATTTTTCTCATCTTTATCATATCGCAGAGCAGAATTCCAAGTGGTTTTTGGTGGCTAAATACAAAACATTATATTTAAAATTTTTTCCATTATATGTAATTTAAGTATGTAATTTGTAAATATTTATAAATATTTAAAAGTCTTGTTAAATGCTTACTTTACATTTTTATAGAGTTTTAATTCATTTTAACAAATTTCTCCTGTATTGGCATTTTTTGATTTCTTGCTCCACTTTCGTTTTATTTTGTTTTTGCACTGACGCTTCTTTGGGGAAATTTGCATATCTCGATAGTGTCATTAAATTTGCATATTTAAGATAAATTTAAATTCTTTGCATGTCTTGTTGTATTCCCTTTTTTTTCTGCGTTCCAATTTCATTTCGAGTATTGTCCTTTTCTTTTACTTTGGTCCTGCCTGGCTCGTTCTTCAAATTTTGCCGTTGCCATTGCAAATTTATTGTAGGCTGAAAGGGGGCGGGGATGGGATTAGCATAACATTGTTTACAGACTGTCTTCATACATGTAGAAACAGTGGAGCTGACAGCTGCTGACAGAAATATAGTAGTAATTGCCAGATTTTGCAAATAAATACATTTTAGTGAAGTTTTAAATACATTTTATTAATGATTTTAACAGTTGGTAGCTACAATAATATTCAAAATTTAATTACATAGATTAAAGTTGGGGAATACTTTACTAGAAAGATAATGTATTAAAATGCTAAATTAAAATTATTAAAAATTTTATTTAACATCATTTATTGCCAGGAATATTCCAAATTAATTTATTAGTTATACTCTGTTAAATTATATTTATAAATAGTTGATTATAGTATTTGTGTTAAGTGAATGCTACTTTTCTCTCCACAACTGTGTGTCTTTTAGAGTGGGAACTTTAAATGGGCGAGGTGGGCGTGGCTTTACAATGCGTGGGAGTTGCTCTCATCTCTGTTTCATTTTTTTTTTTTTTTTTTCATTTTGTACCCCGCACTCGTATTTTTTTCGTTGTCGTCATCATGCATCATTTGTTTAGTCCCTTAGTCCTTTGTTATGTGCCAAAAGCCGAGAGGGCGGAGGGGGTGGCACAGTGGGGCGGAGAGTGGGCGATAGGACGTGTGTGGGCGGGCGCAAGTGTGGTGGGTGTCACACTTATATGCGACGCACTTGTTGAGAATATTAATTTTATTTAAATATTTCAAAATAACACAAGAGCTGCTGTTGCCTTCATACAGTTTTGGGATTCCTCTTTTTGTTTTGTATTTTATTTTATTTATTTTATTTTGCGACATTTACGTAATGAACTCCAGCTAATGGGATTAAATCCCATACCATTCCAGAGAAAACATTGACAGATGTATCATGTGCGACAAGAAGGAAAAGCTTTTGTTCTGCAGTAAAACAAGATAGTAAAAAAAGGTTGATTAAGAAGCACAAAAACTTTAGTCTATATTATTTTTTTAAATAAAATTTTCACCACTATAAATTATTACAAGCTTATGTATGTATAGGTATTTATTTAAAAATAATTCAGATTAATTTATATTGTAACTAATATTTTTTTAAACTTATTTTTTTTGCATTTTACTAAATGTCTGTGCAAAAGTGTGTTGTAAATTTTTGTTAAACCAAAAGGAAAAGCTTATAGAATTCTTTGAAACATTAACTGCAATTAAACATTCAAAATTGCGTTAAAATTTAAAATTTAATTTTTAACATAATCAAAAATAATAAATATGCAAATAGTTAATATTTAAAGCGACATTTTAGTGTGACAGAATAAATTACATTTGTAGTCTAACTTATAGAAATAGTTTAAATTTAATGTTTTCTTTAACTGTCGTTACTTCAGATTACTGTATAAAAATATGTCTATTTAGATTTGTTTTTTTTTTTTTTTTTTTTTTTTTGTTGCTTGCAAACTGGGAGAGGCCGCAGTTTTGTCTTTGCTATTTCCATTTAGTTAATTATTTAAATTTCTATTTGCGATTCGCACAACAGCAACAAGAATAGACTTTGGGAGAGCACGAGAGAGTGAGAGCGGAAAAACTAAAAGAGCGAAACTTACCGGCAGATAACGAGAGAGCGAGCGAGAGAGCACAGTTTTTGTTGTCTTTGCTTTCGGCTCTTCTTCGTGTCGGCTCGTCTCGCTCTCTCGTGCTCACTCTCATATGATTACCGTCGCTGTCGCGTTGCGCTTTCTTCGTTTTTTCGGCTGCGCAAACTTATATTTTGTCGTTGTAATATTTTGCATAAATATATAAATTAAAGCGCGTGACGAACAACAAAAATAAAGGCAAAGTGCTCAGCAACAAATCGAACGAAATCCACATAACTTTCAAGTGCAAAGTTTGCCAGCGTGCGTGTGCGTGTGTTTTGTGTTTTTCTGCCTGCGTGCCTGCGTGTTTGTGTGTGTGTGTGTAAAACGGAACGTGCAACAAGAAGCAAGAAGAAGAGGAAGTAGCAACAGCAGCTGACAAGCCAACAACAAGCAAGATTTCCAATAAGTAAGCAACAAAAGGGAGAAAAGTGGAGGTGAAATGAAACAAAACAACCTTTGGAAGCCCCGCAAAAGGCTGTCGTAACCGATTGCAAAAACAAAAACCAAAATAGGAACAACTACAATTTGCAGGTCTCAGCTAATTGAAAGCGAATGTGTTGTTGCTTTTAGTGCATTGCACTCGATGCTAAACCAAAAAAAAAAAGAAAGAAAAAATTGCATAAAAATACATAAATAAGAACGGCAATAAAAACAATAAAGAAATTTAGAATAACTGCGGTGTTTGCTGCTCTCCCGCGCTCTCTAGACAACTCAAGTGAGAGAGTAGCATGGCTCTCTTCCAACAAGTGAATAACCTGCAGCGAGAATTACGTTTTTTATGTGATTAGTGTAATTATTTAAACCTTATCGTAGTGCAAATAATTCGTTTTCGTTTTCCTTTTTGCTTTGCTCACTTGTTGTCTTCGCTTTTCATTTTGCCGGGCGCGCTCTCTCTCTCTTTTCCTCTCTCCTTATCTCTCAGCGACAGCTGTCAAAAGCAACGGCCTCTTTCGCTCTCTCGCTGTCATTGTCCTTTTCGCATTCTAAATAAGCAATAACAATAGGCGCACTCGGCGAAAACAACAAGTGCAATTGATAAAAAGCAATAACTATTACAATTCGCTATTGAATAATATCCCCCTGCATATCAATAAATGATTGCATCAGTGTTAGTGTGTGTGTGCACGTCTGGTCCCGTAAAAATAAATAAAAGTGCAAGAAATTGGCTGGCTGTGTGCTATTTTTAATGCCCATGCAAATGTTGCAACATTCCGTGTGAGACAGACTGGGATAGCGATAGTGCTAAAATAACTCGCTGAAATGCTCCGTTGAAAAAAACAAAAAGCAACCATAACAAAAATAGTGCCGAAAATAATCAACAAACTTGCAAGTGAAATATTAATTACAAATTAGAAACACGGCAAGCGATCTCTGGAATGCGAGAGCAGTAAAGATTGCGATTGGTGGAGACAGAGAAAGAGAGAGTCAGAAGTGAGCGCAGTGAACAGTGTTGCCGAGCTGCAACCAAATTGCAAGTGTATAAAAGTAGAGCCCAAAACGGAGTGAAAGATATTTATAAATGCAATTAAAGGTAGTATTAAAAAAGTGCAAGGAAATAATAAAAGTTTATAAATACATCTATATAAGATATATGTATATTTTTTAATTCACATTAATGAATATATTAAAAAAATGCAGGGCACTACTAAAACTTATTTTGAACTTGTTACCACAAATTTTATGAAAATTCATTGAACAAATAAATAGAAAACACCTTGTACTAGTAATAAAACGAAATAACGTTAATTAACATCTGTAGGTTTTATTGTCCATGTTAAAGTTCACAAATATAAATGTGGAAATATGGTACACAAAATTTTCGTATTTTTCAGCATTTAATATAATAAATGCAAAAAAATAGTATATTAATAAAATAAATTTTTTAAATTTAATTTTCAAAATGGAAATTTAAAAATTTTTTAAATTTAATTTATTAAATTTTTTTTTAAATTTTGATTTAATTTGTTTTAATTTCTCGTTTAATATTATTTAATTATTTCACACTTTTTGCACTTGAGCTGTTTAATCGCATTACCTATCTAATGCATTTTAGTCTAATCCAACTGTGTTACACCAGAATAGGAAAACTCTAGCGCCAACTGAGCAATAATCTAAATAACTATTGACCAAACAAAAACAGCAACTGTGAAAAGTGTTGACAAAAGAACACCTGCCGGTGGCACACAATCCACCTGTATTTATTGTAACTGCTGCAAAATACAATTATAATTACTGCCTTCCCATGATTCACACTTTCTAATCTGCATATACTCTGCTTTATCGCCTTTTAATTTTCAGCAGTCACGAGTGAATTCGAGGGAGTGTTAATTGCTAAAACAAAAAAAAGAGTAGAGACCGTGTTACCAATGCATCCGAGATACAGCCCCGCACCGCCCCCTCAACAACAGCAGCAACAGATGGGTGGCGGTCCACATCCCCAGCAGGGCGGTGGCGGTGGAGGAGGCGGTATGAGGGGGCCGGCGAACGCCCAGCAATTGCCACCGCAGATTCCGCGATCCCAGAACTATGCAAACGTGAGTCAAACATTCATAAATCTCTTCTATATTTAAGGTGGCAATTTTAGATTATTATTTATTGGTCTGCGTTGATTTTTAGAGTGATTTTGGGTCAACATGTAGGACAATTTGGAAGGCATTGGAATTTTATGATTATAAATTTACATAAAACTGGGGTTTTGACCTTTACTTAAAAGTTTTATAAATTCAAAATAATACATTCAATACCATACATTCCATAAAATGGGTAATGTTTATACCTTATACTATTTATCATATAATCACACCGATTCGATCTGCTTAGTATTTGATTCAAAGAATATTATTTGTACTCATGGGGAATACTAATGTCTAATAGGCACTCTATCAAATATCAAGCTTAGTTGATAAAATACCATGGTACAAAAACGATTGGCCAAACATCTAAGCAATCAAGTCCCAACAAAGGCATCAATCAATCAGTTGCTGCGTGCATCAATCAAGCAATCAAACGGCTCACTCACTCGCACACTCCTCTCCTCTCCACGCCTTGCCTCAGTCAGTCACCCAGTCAGTCAGTCAGTCAGTCAATCGTTCATTCAAATCGGACGCAGGCTGATGATTTTTGATGCGGATTCTGATTCTGATGCTTTCCACATAGAAGGCGCCAGCTTTGCCTCGCGGCCAATATAGGGGGCGCCACTGCAATCGACATGTGTCATACGCAGTCGTTCGAATCATGGGGGGAAAAAGCGGGAAATGCGGCAGGAAAATCGGGCAAAAATCGGGGGGAAAATCATGGGTAAAGGAGGGAGCCAAATAGAGGAAAGCTGTGGGTAGAAAGGGAGGAAGGGAGCACGCATTTGAGTGGAAAATTGCTCCCGCTGATGCGGCTGCCACTGCCTGGCAATGATATGGATTTCTTCTAACCATTTTCGCCATCAATTTGCTGACAGTTGCAGTGCAGCAGCCGCCGCTGCCGCCTGCCTAATCCCGATGCTAGAATCGGGGCACTATACCGCCACCACCACATTATCCCCAATCCCACCTGACAAATCATTATTCACAGGGCCGCCGCTGAAGAAAGGAACATTTTAGCAGGATTTCCTCGTATTTTTGTTGTTGCTAATTTCAATGGTATTAAAACCCAGTTTTCCCCAGTTGGTGTGGGATTTGGCATTGTGAAATATTTCCATCATAATTTATGCATTTGCTTTCTAAATAACACCAACATAGTACACTCGCAAAAAAAGGAAAGAAAAAGAAATAGAAATAGAAATAGAAATAGAAATAGAGATGAAAACCACAAAATGGAAATTACACAAAGGCAACATTTGTAAGTAGTTTCCCTTCGTCCTTTGCCACCTGACAAAAATCTGGTTTACCTGCGTGTATATATGCGTGCACTGAAATAAATTATTTAACATATATTTAGATATTTTAGGAATTTTTAAAAAGTGTCCTATGATTTTTCTTAGGTTCTTAGAGACTCACATGAGATTTACTTGCATTTAAAATGCTCCCCAAAATGATTTATTCTATTCCAAAAACTATTGTGAACTCAGTATCACATTTATATCGACAAAAAGGTATATCATTTTTTCTTTGTGTTGCAAATTCTGTACATAAAATATATATGTATTCCATATAATAAACTATTCAAAGCTTTTGCGGCACAATACTGAGCGGGGCCAGGACGTACCCTATGTTGCTCGTTTTGCTGCGTTTTAGGGTAGCTCACCTGGCCAGGCACCCCATCTATCCCCACCAACACTCACTGCAACCCCTCCAGGTGTGCTCGCTTTGTAGGCAGCATCTATTTGGCATCCTCTAATGGCCAACAGGCGTTGCTTTGGCTTTCCACGGGAACGTTCTTTCATTTAAACAGCTTTCAACTCACGGCAACAACAACATTCTGGCAGACCACATCAAAATAAAAATGCCAGGAGACGGAGGGGGGTAGAAAAAAGTAAGGAAAATACGGGGAAAAATTGTAAACAGTCGCGCACTTAGTCAGCGCCGCAGTCCAAGGCAGTTATATTGTGCCCGGAATGAAAATTATATTTCGCATTTTGTGTGTCCGCCGAAGAAAGAAAAGTAAATAAATAAAAGCGGAACTGGGCAAGTTGCTGAAGTTTATGGAGTTAAGGGAAGATGTATTTAAAATTACTTTAGACCACACTTTGTGTGAGGGGTTTTATTTTATTTATTATTATTTTTTCATGGGTGAAATTTTGAGGTAAAATTGGAGTTTGAAAAAACTTTGGGGGTGTTGGATATTAATTTTTAAAAAGTTTTGCTTGAAAACTCGTTTTTTTTTTGTTTAAATAATATTTTTTAAATATTATATTTATTTTCGAAAGAGAAACCACGTTTTCAATATATCTTTTTGAGTTTTAAGTTCTTAAAACTTCTTATACTTTCTCTGTTTTTGTTATACCTAAATTATATAATTTTTATTAGATTTATTAAGCTTACTTTTTTCTGCAACTGTTTTAATCCAATCGTATTGATTTACCAAATACTTTCCCCAGTTTTCCAGCATCGTAGTTATAGTTCTTGTTTTCCCGCTTCCTCTTTAGTAATTAGGAAATTAAATACTCAGGAAATATACAAAAGGAAATATCATTTACACTCCTTTGATTTGCTTTTCCTACTCTCCTCGCTTTGCATTTACCTGAATAATTTGTTTTCCACCTTTTACCTTTACCTCCTTTCCGCTTTTTGAGTAGAATTTTCCTTTTGGCAAATTCTATTTGAGTTTGCAAACCCAAAAATGTTTCGTAAAACTTGAAAACTTTACAGTATTTGAGTTTGTGCGCTAAAAAGTTTGCACAACAAAATATTTATATTTCGATGGTGATGATGATGATGATAGAGTAAAGAAGGAAGAGGCACGGGGAGTTAAATTAAGAATGAGAACTTTTGCCTAGTCACGTAGTAATTTGTGATTAAATTCAATGTTGACAATTGCCGGAGAAAGCCAGAAAGTTGTTAAGGTAATTGCGACCGCATAGGCTGAGATGCATTTCAATTCAAGCTGCTTGACCAGGCGGCCAAGGGAGTGGACGGGATTCTCTAGGATTCTCGGGACACCGGGATATTCTCTAGGATTCTCCAATGCAGCGCTGAATGCCGGACGAAACGCCTTTGAGCCATGCGCCTGCGTCGGCTTGTGGATCCTGTTGCTGGGGATTATTTTTGCCGGCTCGCAGCAATGCATTCGAAGGCACGAAGTATAGGGAACGAAACGCCAGAACCGAGGCGAGCCGAAACCCAGTCCGAGGGCGAATCTGAGGCCTTACTCCAAAACCTTACTCAATGAGAAATTCAGAATCCATTCGACGATTGTCAAGTTCAGTTACAAACGCCTTTTCCTCATTTTGCGCACCACAAAAGCGGAAAGCGACCACAGAGCCCCAAGCACACAGAGATTGCCTGAGACGAGCGCCAAGTCTGAAGCCAAAAATTGTATCGAAATAACCGAAATCCAATTCCAATTTAAAATCCAAGAAAATAGTCAAGCCAAGCGCAGGGAGCCCCAAGGAGTCCTGCAAATATCCTTTCAACAGTGCAAGCTCGCCATTTTGTGTTTCGAAAAAAAGTTTTATCGCAAAGCCACGCCGCAAGATTCAGCATTAAAATATATATAAAAAAGATATTATATATATATTTCCATTTCCCCGTGCGTATACGTAATCTGAGTCGAAGTCAGTTCATTCTGTCCATGATTTACAAATATTAAAAATATATTATACAAGTAGTCACTGAGAGAGTTCGCCGAGTGCAAGTGCAAGTGAAGTTCAGTATTATTTACAAACGCGCGAAAAAAATATTAAGAAATTTACAAAGTAATTCTGCTCAAGAACTCGCTACTCAAAGTAGTCCAAGGATTCCCAGTCTCTCAGCGCAACAATTGTCAGCGAGAAATTCCTACGCATCTTAGACAACTAAGAACTCTTAATAAAACCAGAAGAAATCAACTAAAAAGAGTTACAAACTCTCAAAGCAAAATATATAATTAAAAAAAGTCATAAGAAAACATTAAAGTGAACACCAAAGCAAAGATCTACAGTATTATTTTAATAAAATATATTACAAAGGAAAATAATAAAAAGAAACTCTAAGCGATAAATAGAGACAATAAAGTTAAAAAATAAAATAAAACCAAATTAAATTTGTGACATTAGCTTAAAAGTAAAACCATAAAACTAGCTTAATTGTGAGTGAAAAAGATTTAGCAAATTGCCATAAGAAAACAAAACAAAAAATAGTTAAAAAAAGCTTAGCTTGAAAAAAAAAAAGAAACAAAATTAAATGTGTCTACTTGTGTGTGTGCTTAACTAACTGCAAATTGAGAAATAATAAAAGTAATTAAGTCAAATAAAATTCAACATTAATAAGTGTTCAGTGTTTAGCCAATATATAAAATCGCATTACGATCTCTAGTCAATGTTCTCAATCTAAAAAAATCAATAAGAAAATCTACTAAAACCCAGACAACGGCAGACAGGGCTCAGACAGTCGCACAAGAAAAAGTAAGGAAAAAAGGAGGAAATCTATTTACAATCGACCTGCTCATCAATAGCCATTAAAATTGCGTCAATCAAGAGAAAAACCTCGCCATTGCCCGCAGCAACATCGACGCTAGCTAATTTTAGTCAGCAACAGCAGCAGCAGCAGTTCGACAAGGAGTCCTTCGACCAGCAGAAGCAGGAGCCCTTCCAGTTCGAGGCAGCAGCTGTAGGCCAATCGTTGGCAACAGTTGTGCAAACACCGGCAGAAACCACAGCAGCAGCGGCGGTAGCAGCAGCAGCAGCAGGAGCTACACGACCAACACTCCCAGGAGCAACTCCTACATCCACAGGAGCAATATCCTTGAGTCAGCAGCTACAAGCACCACCACCACCGCCGCCGCCGCCACCGCCGCAGGAAACCGCAGCAACAACAAGTGTTGCCGGGACAACAGCAATCAAAACAACAGCAGCAGCAGCAGGAGCAACATCAGTGGCTAGCAAGGGCAAGGCTAGCAAAACCAC